TTCATCGAGACCTCTTTATATGTTCGATGACGGTGCGATCGTTCCAAGTGTTGTAATCGTCACGTGCATGATTTACAGAATCAAATTCTCTAATCATCACTTAGTCAGCTCTGGCCAGAGACTTAGAATGATTACAAACTTTCAGAACACACAGGACATCCAAGACTATTCTAGCGATCGAATCCCCGACTACAATGCACAGACCTCCCACTAGATTTCGGACTGCACGAACACTGGCCCTTGGGATGGTCCTCGGTGGAACTCAGGGACAGGTCACGATACAGCTGGTCCTCTAGTGAAGTCACGGTGATGTCTAGGTCATAAGGACTAATGGTGTACAACTATACCATAGATATCTCTACTCGATTATTGGGAACCACTTAGAAATTTCTAGGGTGAGGGAGTTCAGTGAACTCGTCAACTTACGAGTACCCACTTATGCATGCCGATATCACAATACCGTTTACTGATGAGATGCAGTACACATACACTAAGTGCTAGTCTTAATGGGAAAGGCCGATATCCTCATTAGTGGCGTAACCCTTCGACTAGGAACACGTTTAACAGTTATAATACTTAAGTAAATATCTCACGATCCTAACGATCAATTACTAGTACTTGTAATAACTGTAAGGACTATATCTATGCTTGTGACAAAAGGGACAAAGATATAGAATGCCAAGGTGTTTTATCATTAATACGAATAAAGGTTCGTTTATTACAATAATAAATACGAAAAACCACAGCCACATGTTGGCTTGTTGGTCACCTACTCTAACACTTCTAACACTGTATGATCCTTCACAGTGTAGCTGGAGAACTTCCCAAGCATCCTTCGCAGAAGTGCACACTGAGATCAGTTTAAACATTGTTAAATCTACTGAATTAAAAATTGCATTTAACGCCTTTGAGTTTTGATTAGCATTTGATAGATCGTCTGGTGTCCACCGTAATTTTGGTGTTGGAAACACATCCCCATCCACTTCTGTTATAGTTGGTGGCTTCCATCCAGTAAGGATAGATCTCCAGGCTCTCTCATCGATGGCTTTGATGTACGCCCTCATCTTGACTTTCCAGTAGGTGTAGTTTGTGCCATCAAGTACAGGAGGTCGCATAGAAGCAGTCATCTGAGTATCCATCACGAATTCGTTTCTGTAAAAGAAATAGGAACAAACACTTAGTATATGTCAAGTGTTGGCTCTTGATGCCAATTGAAATAATTTATGGTCCCGAATTCGTTTAATACAGAGGCGTTATCGTAAGTGTTATAACACTTAGACAAACATGCAGCGGAAATATAAAGATATAAAGACAATACTCATATCTAAAAATGTTCACAAGTAAAACTTGTGAACTTGCCCTTTACAGGACAGAAAAATTATATTACAAAAACTGTATTCCAAGAATACAAAGAGAAGATGTACGAAAACTTCTTCCATATGAATGAATCATTCTCATGATCATTCTTACATTCAAATCTAGAAACAAAAGGAGAAATATTAAAAATTCTAGATTTCAAAGAATGTAATCGTAAGGAGTACGTACAACAGATTCTAGAAACACACTAAAACTCTTGTAAATAAACTTCAGCACTCGGTTTTTGTTTCTTCGAAATCTGTGACTTTCTTGAGTCTTGAGTTTGGTATTTATAGACTTTCCAAGCTTCCACTCCTCAGCCCATGATCTGCAAGAAAGCCAACTACAAGAGCACTCAAGAAAATGGGTTAGTGGGTTAGTTAAGGAGTTAGAATAATATCCACAATTAAACCCATTAAGCACTACTTAGCCCACTAAGCATTATACTTAGCCCACTAAGCCATAACAAAAATTTAGTTTGAGAGTATGAGAGTTAAAAACACTTTGTGGAAATCCACGTATTTCAATAATAATAATAATAATAATAATAATAATAATAATAATAATAATAATAATAATAATAATAATAATAATAATAATAATAATAATAATAATAATAATAATAATAATAATAATAATAATAATAATAATAATAATAATAATAATAATAATAATAATAATAATAATAATAATAATAATAATAATAATAATAATAATAATAATAATAATAATAATATATTTATAACTTGGTAATCACATGAAATTAGTTAATATAATAATTTTATATGCTAGTTATAAAATGATGTTAATTATACCAAATCCTATTTTAATTTTTATATTTGATAGAAAAAATAGGATTTAGTGAAAAAATGGTAAAATGGTGGTAGGGTGGGAGTTGCAATTTTTTTCACTAAAAAATTTGGTGAAAATATAGTATTTGGTAATATGGTGATACGTGGTTTGACCACAATGGCAGACTAAAATCAAATCATCATAATTTTAGGTGTAATGTTGATTTAGTGATTTAAGCTTGGAGGTTAAAAATACCTAAATTAGGTGGAAAAAATGGGATATGGAGATGGGTGGAAGATGCACTTAGCACACCATTCTACAGTTTCACTACTTTTGGTGAAGAAATAGTGTATTTGGTCTCCCTCTAATTCCATCAAATTCCACACCATATAATAAAATAATAACATTTCACTATTTTCCTATTTATAGAGATATCATTTGGTTTGGCCTCACATGGTATTTTACCAAATATATAATGTTATTCATAATTTTAGTCTATTTTAATTTCAAAAATATCGATTATAGACCCGATTATAAGTAATAATTTTATTGATTACATAATTTAAAATTATGATAGATTTCAAAAAATTATTGAAACATGAATGAAAATCAACGTAAATTATTATACATATAATAAAACAACACATGAAATATTCTATCTTTTTGGAATTTTAGTAGTTGTTGCTACCATATGAGTAAATATTCTATCTTATTTCCTTTTACCCCATTTTAGGACTGCATTGTAATAGACTCGATAGGGTCGCTTCAGATTTTTTATTACCATTGTAGGGGTACTTTTTTTCCTTGTGTTAGACAATTAGGCCCACAAGATTTTAACGAAGCCCCAAAACGTTTTATCATAATGGAATAATAAAAACTTTTTGGCAAAAAAAAAACAACACATGAACAATAATTTCATAACTTAATGCATAAAAATATTACTACAAAATTAATGATAAAAACGTGCCATGATTTCTTTTTGCCAAAACATATTATTTCATTGATAATTTTGAACGTCAAAGGGGCCTCATTAAAATATTGTGAGACCACACCAAATGTTATTCTCTATATATAGGAAAACGATGAAATATTAATATTTTATTGTATGGTGTGAAATTTGATGGAATTGGTGGGAGACCAAATACACTATTTCTTCACCAAAAGTAGTGAAATTGTAGAATGGTGTTCAAAGAGCATCTCCGACCGGTTTCATCATTTTCTTCATCAAATCCCATTTTTTGTGGTGACAAAATAGGCACACCAAAAATTATTGAAACAAATATGACAATATAGAATTGAACAAAATTACCATAAAAAAATAGATCTCGACGAGAGGAATCCAACGGTCGGTTGTCCATCAAATTCCGACTGTCGGAACACAATTTACTCAACGGTAAAACGATTGAAGAAACAGATCGAATGCTCCAAATTGAATGAAATCAGCACATAACTAAAGAGCTCGACGAGAGGAATTCAACGGTAGTCAAACCATCGAATTCCGAGCACCGAAGAGAGTTATGACTCCGGGAAACAACATTATCGGTTGGAGAGCGGGAATTGAATATGAGAGTGATACTTTGTTACGCAAGTTATACCAGCATAATGCAAATTACAACAGCAGAATGCAAAATAATACTTTGTTACAACTTTTTCTTTTTTGAAGAATCTTTTTTATTAGGCTTACATAAGCTAATTGAGGTGGAAGAGTATCACCTTCAGAAACGTTTACTATAGACAAAGCATCTAACCTATGAGCCAGACAATTGCCTTCTCTCTTAATGAAAGAAAATAAAAAAACAAGAAGAAAAGGAGTTAGTACGAGCTAAGAAATCTTCGACAATAGCTCCATACGACATGAGAGACACTTCATTAGCAGCAAACACATCCATAACTTGATGGCAGTCGCCTTCAACCATTATATCCGTCCAAAGCAGAATCTCCATTCAAATAATAAAAGTCTGCTGGACAGCAAGAGCTTCTCCATTCACCGGACTAACCCGACCTTTTAATCTCCGAACACATCACAAGACACAATCTCCATTAAAGTCCCTCGCTACCAAGGAGATTTGATAGTAATTGGCACCTTCCGGAAAGGTAGCGTCACAAATTATTTTAAGAAATCCCCAGGGGGTGGTTTCCACGTCTCTTGGTGGGAGTGTCTCGTAATGGTCAACTTCTTGAATTCGAGCAGCACCATCCCACCAATTCATCAAGCTGAGCTGACTCTTCCTCATGCAGGATTCGGTTTCGACGGTCCCACCCAAAGTCTCCAGCACACCACCACCGCCAAGAGGAAAGAATCTTTATTCAGCGACTTTTGGAGTAGCTCTGTCCAACTCCAAAAAGTGTTGTTACTCTCAATATTTCTGATGAGAAATGAGGATTGAACCCACAAATGACGCACATGTTTGCCATTCATATACCTCATGCAAGACTGATTTTGCTCGCTCTCCACAAATAGTACACAAATTAAAGGTTCTGTAGTTATATTATTCAATATTTATATTATTATAATAATATTTTATATTATTGGGCAAATGGCAAAAAGGCCCATCACATGAGACTTAAATGTATTTTGGTCCACAAAAAAAACAGTCTCTCAATTAAGACCATCCCCATGTCTTTAGTCTAAAATACCCTCAATAATATCATTCTTATCAATTCAACCCATTATGCTCTAACTTCCTTAATTGCTAAAACTGATTTAGGGGAAGAGTTTTAAAATATATGTATTTATGAGCAGTATTTCTATTTTTCTTAAAAGCAAATCAATCATATTAAAATATAAGGGTTATTGCAATATGGGACTTATAAGTTGAATTAACAATTAACAATGTATAATCTATTACCGTAATAGGAGGAGACCTATAGAAAATTACCCCTAAAAAAAACTACACCTAAGAAAAATTGCCCCATAAATCGCGTGTTTACAACAAAATACCCCGCCGTATCTGAGCAGTGAAACTCGATTAAAACTTGAAAGCGCGGGAAAATCATCGTAGGGTAGGGTCTCCGGCGAAGCAATACTCGGGAAGTAGAAATGGAGAATCAGGATATGGAGTTGGAGAAGGCGAAATTGATAAGCTTGGCTCTGGAATTCGGATTTGACGAGGAATCCGCCAACAAATGCTTGCACCGCCTTGTTGACCTATATGGTCAGTTTTCTCGCCCAAACACTCCCTTCTCCTTTTCCGTCATCAATTATTTTTATTTTCTCTCTTTTTTTTTTTGCTTTGGTTAACGATATAGAAACCGTATGCCTGCTTAATTCCTGAAGCAATTTTTATGGAAAAATGGCAAGATTTGTCTCATATTTAGTTTAGGTGAGCTACGAATCATCAATTTAGTACTGTTACTTAGGAAATGTATCAAAGTAGGAGTTCTGGTTTTAAATCTGAACCATATGCAGTATTACAATTTTTATATGTTTGCGGTTATCTGGATTTTAGTCGTGTTGTGGTAAATAAATGTTTGGAGTTACCGTAGCCTTGGTTCCATTTTTTTCTTCTTGTGTTAGTTACTTGCTAGAATGAGAACCGAGATGTAGTAGTAATATAATTAAAGCAAATAAAACAAATGCTTCATCGACAACTGAAATGTTGTAAATGAATATCTGCAGAACACTCTATTTTGATAAATGTACTATGTATTCCTTCATATTTGCTTCTTTTATACAATATCTTCCAATCAGTCAATTTCAGCATTCACGCTTGCAGAAGCGCAGCTATCATAGAATCCATTTGGATTTATTGACTGCGATTATTACAATTTTGCCCTTGTTAAAGGTGATGATGGGCGAGATTTCATCACTGTGGAGTGCTGTGGTGACGACTTTCTGGCATCACTTGCTGAGTTTATGCAAGACACTGAGGATTGGGATGATGTGCAAGCCATGGAATCAGAAGCTTGTGGTGCCTTGGCCGAGATTCTGGACAAGGATCTTCACAACTATGGTTCTGAGGTTGAAAGAAGAAGTAGCCAAATTCATGTCATAAACGATTCTCCTGAATCTCAGAATCCTCAAACTATCATGCAACTGGATTCTTCAAGTGAGGATGAAGTGGCACTCCAAAGTATTTCCAAGAAACGTACGAAACCTTCCTCTGATAGTTTTACGAATGTCAACACTCGTAGCACTTCACCAAGTTTGATTAGACCTTCATCAATCTCAGTAAGGACTTCTCTAAACTTTGTCCACATCTTATATATCAAAAGGAATAAAAAGAACAAATACCATGTACTAATAATATGAATCTTTTTTAAGGACTATTGGAGTGATCCAGCTCAAAGTTCAGTTTCATCGATTTCCGACGGGACTCTGTCATATGAAGAGCTGCAGAAACTGGATGATATAGAACTGGCAAATGTTGTTGTATTTGGTAATAGAGGTTTTCGGCCATTGCAGCATCAGATTTGTAAAGCATTTCTTGCTCAGCGAGATTGTTTTGTTCTTATGCCTACTGGAGGTGGTAAGAGTCTTTGTTACCAGGTCAGACCATGGCAGTATAGGCCTTTCTCTTTTCTATCTTTTACATTTTCTGAATGGCAAATATAACCCCATCTGTTATGCACTTTTACCTTATGCTGGTCCTGCTAATTTATGGGCCAATCATATAGCAAACTTTCTTTACTTAGCTTGTATGGAATCTTGATGAAATTATTTTCCATTGTTTGTTATGCATTTGATTTTTTCCCTTTGCTAGAAAGTAGGTTATCGTTGTGCTTGTCAAGTGAAAATTCACCTTCCCCTTAGTGCAATATACTAGTAAAATGCTTAGTAAGAACTCTTAAATATTCATTGAACACAGCCACTAACACATTGGTTATTGTTGTTATTTCAGTTTGGCTTTCTGCACTGCATTTCATATGACTAATAGCATTTTGTATCCTTAAGTATTCGGGTAGTACTAGGGATAGTTCTGTTATTTTCTCTTTTGGACATCATTTGCTTAATGTTTTTGTTTATGTTGATATTTTCTTGCTGTGATATGCAATGCTGTGCTGCAGCTTCCAGCCATTCTCCGGCCAGGTGTTACGATTGTTATATCTCCACTTCTTTCCCTCATTCAAGATCAGATTGTTACATTGAATCTCAAATTTGGAATACCAGCAACTTTCTTAAATTCTCAACAGAAGCCTTCACAAGCCGCAGCCATACTTGAGGAATTAAGGTAATTTCAGCTTATTGTCCATCCATTCTGATATAACTATAACAATTTTTCCCACCCCCTCCAGATTTATTCTCAAGTTTTCACTACGTGAACGAAGCCCAATTATCCTCTCGTAATCTCTTCTATGAACACTCAAATGAGATTCCAGAAAATCATAGAACAATCGATAATCCTTCTTTTATTCTTGAATAAATGCAACACTAGTAAAAGGAGGAAACTATATATGTACGTTGTAAACTATCATACATCGTATGAAAGTGCACTTTGTGATCCTTACGTGATATAATGCAGTGGGGTGATAAATTTGATGGTCTTCTTGTCTATCCTTTCAATTGTCTATTTGGAAAAAGTCATGGAATAGTGTGATTTTATAAGCTAGAGGACTCCATGTCTACCACATAGCACCATTCATATATAATTTATTATTTTCTTGATTTATTACATACTTTTGAGTCAAACCATCTAACTTTAATTATTGTACAAGATACTTTTTCCTTAATTGTAACCCCTGCTCGTGGCTAGAGAATGGATGGACATTTCGAATGGTATGAAGTACATTTTAATCGTGGATGCCTCACATAGCCAATTATTCCTCATGACAGTATATCTTAATGTTACAAATTGTATGTAGCAGAGCGTTTGTGTTTGTGTGCGCGCTCTCGTGTGTGTGCTTGTGCATAAAAGTCCTATTACATGCAGTGGACATTTATATAGCTCCACAATGAATTGCATCCTGCAAGTAGTTTTCTTGTGAAATATATTTATTCAGTGCATATTAACTGTTGTGTTCCATCTGTAAGTTTCACATTTGTTTGAATGATTCTAGGAAAGATAAGCCTTCATGTAAACTTTTGTATGTAACTCCAGAAAGGGTTGCTGGAAATTTACCATTTCAAGAGATCCTAAAATGTCTGCACGTTAAGGTAAATCTTTGCTATGAAATGGAAAATCAAATCAAAATTGGTGCTTTGCACTTCCAAATCCATCACTCTTTTTTGGTGGTTCTAAATATGAAAAGATCATATTGGTATTTCAGGGACAATTAGCAGGATTTGTTGTTGATGAAGCTCACTGTGTGAGGTATGCTTTCCTCATTTTCTGGAGATAAGTTCTAGCATGTTTAAGAAAGTAAGGTTTATCAGTGATCTTTGTATTCTGAGTGTATTTGTATTGATTTTACGATGGAGAGCATAATCTAGTCGAGATACTTATGTTGGAAAGATTGAAATACATTCAATTGCGACGGTCTTATTTTCTTGTTTAATTCAGAGAGCTTATTTTTCATGTCTATGGATTGCAGCCTGCATCAAATAAATGGTAGATGAATAAAATTTTATTAGAAAACAAGACGTCTAAATTTGGTTAACGTTGGGATTTGCAACCTGCTTATCTCTTGAAAGTGGGTCGAATTTGTCCAAAGACTAAAATTTACTTCTAGTATTCACCGTGATGATGGTGTTTCATTTCCCACCGAATGAAGTTTTCAATTTTTCTGCTGTAATTTGCTTTCTGAAAGCATTTTTTCCTCATCAGCCGAAATCTGCCCTCAAAGACATTTTACTGTTTCTTCCTGGATTCTCTATAAATTAAAGAGAAACCCTAGAGAGAATAAGAATAACAAGTGTTGTGAGAAAATATTAGAGCATGTAAAATATTGTTTGGAGCTCTTTCTTTTTTTTAGCATAAATTTCAATTGTGTCATTGCTTCCCTTGGCCCGTGGACATAGGCTTGTAAAACTAGCCGAACCATGTCAATCCTTGTGTCATTTTGCTTTTCCATAGTTTTTGTTTTTTTAATATTGTCATCCATTTTAACTAAATGTGGCATTTGATCCTTCTACCAGCCTAACATTATCTCTTTCTAATGATTTCCAGCCAATGGGGTCATGATTTTCGTCCAGATTACAGACTCTTAGGTTGCCTTAAGCAGAATTTCCCACGTGTTCCTCTTATAGCTTTAACTGCAACTGCAACACAAATAGTTCGTAAGGTAGGTTATTGTTTCTTGGACACATATGGAAGTACCTGCAATTTCTTTTTTCTGACAATTCATCTGCAGGATATCTTAAACTCGTTGAGAATCCCCAATGCAATAGTGCTCGAGACGAGTTTTGATCGGCCCAACTTGAAGTATCAAGTGATAGGAAAAACTAAAGAACCGCTCAAGCAGCTGGGGAAATTACTGACGGATCATTTCAAGAATCTATGTGGAATTGTTTACTGCCTTTCGAAAAACGAATGTGTGGAGGTATCGAAGTTTCTGAACGAGAAAATGAAGATCAAAAGTGCGTATTACCATGCTGGTTTGTCTGCTCGTCAGAGGGTTGAAGTTCAGAAGAAATGGCATAGTGGAGAAGCCCATGTCGTTTGCGCTACCATAGCTTTTGGGATGGGAATCGACAAACCTGATGTTGTGAGTAGTAAAATTGTCAAATCTGAAAATAAATAATTGTGAGATGATTTTTTTTTTTTTTTTAGTTTGAATCAAGAAAGTTGAGCTTTGAGTTGTGTTTGTTATTTCAGCGATTTGTTGTTCACAACAGCATGTCGAAATCAATAGAGAGTTACTATCAGGAATCTGGAAGGGCGGGAAGAGATAATATGTCAGCCACGTGTGTTGTTCTCTACCAGAAGAAGGATTTTAGTAGAGTCGTTTGTATGCTTAGAAGTGGGCAAAGGGGTAAAAGTGAGAGCTTCAAACGGGCTATGGATCAAGCTCGGAAAATGCAAATGTATTGTGAACTCAAGGTACAAGCAAAAGCTATATAATAATGTGTGTATATACTGAAAACCCGTAATTAGTTTCGTTTAGAAGTGATTAAAGTTTTAAAAACCGTGGTGCAGGTTGAATGCCGTAGGCAAGCTTTACTCGAACACTTTGGAGAATCCTTTGAGCCGAGCGCTTGCAAAAATGGCCCCAGTCCTTGTGACAACTGCCTCAAGTTGAATCAATGACATTACAGCAGTTCACACATTTTTCTGTCGGCATAACATTATTTCAGACTGAGGACTAAATTAATGTTATCCTTTATTTTTCCTTCTTGAATTGAGCCATAGCTTGATACAGTTAAACCTAGCGGTGTAAACGAGCCGAGCTTGGCTGTTTTGGCGAGCTCGAGCTCTTCGAGTATTGTTTTTTTCTGAGCTCGAGCCTAGCTAAGCCATTTTGTGTATTTTTTATTTTTTATTAATATTATTAGAAATTTATTATTATAAATTATAATAAAAAAATTTGAAATAAAAAAAATGACCTGTATTTATTTATTTATATGAATTTATTTTTTATTTTATATTAATTAAATTTTAAAATGAAATTTAAAAAAAAAAGTCGTGAACCGTACTATGGGCTTACGAACGACTAAAAATGAGCTCGAGCTCGACACGCCAGAAAGCTCGAGTTTGAGTTCGGGCCTTTGTCGAGCCGGCTCACCGAGCTCACGAGTCGGCTCGGCTCGGCTCATGTACACCCCTAGTTAAATCTCTATAAATTAATACAGTCAGGACTAGCGAATTTATACTAATTTAGCGAAATATTAATTTATCGAACTAATATTTTAGTACATTTTTACTAAGTTAGAACCGAAATAAATTTTATTTAAGGAGGGTTATGAATTTATCGAGGTTATATTGTACTTGCATTTTTGCACTTGTGATACGGATGAGCTAATTTGCTAGCATATCTCCATTCTCCGAGAGCATAAGTTATATTCAATAGCTAAACATCTTATTTTTAACTATTCAATCCAACAAGATTCTTCAAATTTAGCCAACTATTATAGTATAAAATATGTTGTAAATGATACACTATTACATCTTATGCATGAGATATCGATAGGATTAATTCAAAGTTTTAGCTAACTGGTTTATTTTATTATTCGTCAATATTTAACCGTAGAATATATTGTAAATAATACTATGTTCGTTTATATGCATGAAAAATAAATGGTAGATATACATATTTATAAGGTTAATCTATTGAATTTTAGATACCTAGTATTATTTTTAAATATTTAACTATAACTAATATTATTTAATTAATACTCTATCATATCACATGCATAAAATTTAATTAATAAACATACACATTTACAACATTAATTTATCAAAGTTTAGCTAATCAAAATAATTTTAGAGAAGCTAAAATGTTATCTGTATGTTTATAAAATTGAAGGTTAGCCTTCAAATTATTGCTATTAAAATTGAACTAGCTTGTTCAAGACACCTATTTTTTGAAATGATTACCTAAAGGCTAAAAAAATTCAATAGTTGGGTAATAATGAGCTAAAAGTTCCGTTGTTGGAAATGGTCCAATAATAAGTCTTCCCTTTCGTTGAATTTACCCTTTTATTTTTAATTTGCTTATTATTATTGTCAATTATTTTGTTATTATTATTTTTTTCTACTATAACCCAAATGTCCAAGCTTTACATAACTAATTACGAGGACAAACAACATTTAATTATCAAAAAAAAAAAAAAGAGGACAAACAACATTCCCCCATTGTTCGTCTACCAGTTTAATTTTGATGCGGTCGTCGTACGTCTATACGTACTTGGAGCGAACTTTTGTGGTCAAATCAATCAGAATGAAAATTGAGTTTCAGGATAAATGTTATCACCCACTTGTAAGATAAATTTTGTCTTTTAAGAGGTGGAGTAAGTTCAAACCTTTGATACTCTCAAGTAGTAGGGGTGACGAGCCGAGCTGGCTCAAGAGCTTGATGAGCCGGCTCGCAACTTTTTTTTTTTTTTATATATATATATATATATTTTTTTTTTAAATAATGTATAATAATATAAAATATTGTAGAAATAAATATTTAAAAATATGTATAATAACAATTTATTTTTTATTTTGTAATTTTTTAAAATATTATTTTAATAATAATTAAAAAAATATTAAAAAAAACAACAACAACAAAATAAGCTTAGGCTCGAACTCGGCAAAATGGACACGAGCTCGAGATCAAACCAAAAAAGAAGGAACTCGAAGAGCTCGAGTCTGCCAAAAGAGACGAGCTCGGCTCGTTTACACCTCTACTCTGAAGTAAACTCCTCATGTTCTATGGTTGCATCATGGTTGTGGGGCTTGAATGAACCTAAATCAATAGATTATTGGATGGTTCATTTATTAGATTTGACCGATACGAACTATATAGTATCACATTTTTCTACAGAGTATATATATAATGTTGAGGTCAGGTATGATGCTAAATTGCAAATAGTCAACACTCATGAACCCAATCCAAGGACTGATTCTTATCATCATACAATGGTTGGATGGTTCTTTTTCTTTTTCTTTTTTTTTTTTTTTTTTTTTTTTTTTTGGAATTTGGGAGAAATTATTTAAGGCCCTTCATGTCAATGGTATTCAAGCATCTAAGGATCGTCTCTTTATCAAATTTTCCGATTTTTATGCCGACTAAAATTACCCCAACCATTTTTTATATGGGTTAAATTTATTATGTTACTTATACATTTTTATGATATTTTTATTGAAGATATTAATATTAAATGATACATTTCACTAATAGCTTAAGCTTTTGGTTGAGATGGTCATTCAACATGGTATCAGAAGTCAGGCCAAATGAAAGGTCCTGAGTTCGAACCCCACATCCACCCATTTAAAAAATATTTCAAGTGCAAGGCTTCGACTGATGCAACTCTAGTTTCACAAAATTCAAAACATGAAAGTTGTATATCTTTTTATTAACTTTTCAACCCTACTTGAATTACTACAATGTTAGTTCATGTGAAAATATTATGACAACAAAAAATTACATGGTCATTTATCTAGTGAAAAAAATATAACTTCAATGTTATTTTGACGGGAAAATTACATCTTTAGTCCCTTAATTTTACCATGATTCATCTTTTCTTCCACATGTCCCTAAGTGGACAAATTTCACCTCCCATTTACCAATTTGTAGATCTTTTGCTCCGTTAGTTGGCCATTTATGACTAACTCAAAAAAAAAATGTTGCTAAAATTAGGATTTTGAGTTGATTGGGGCTACAAACAGAGTTAAAGGTCTATTTTATTAGAGTAATTTATTAAATTAACTTGAAAATAGTACTTTATATTTATTAAATATTATATTTAATCGCATGTAAATATATTAAATTAACTTCTTAAATTTAGATAATGTAAGTTTTTATTTTATTTATGTCAGTATTTTTAATTCAACTAAATTTATTGAATCTAATTTGAAATGGGAATTAGATGGAGGTCCCAAAATGTTTTTATAGCTATAAGGACACACGCATTATGCCATTTTACTAAAAGTCCTTGTGCGCTTCCCCTCTAACATAATCGCTTAAGAAAACTAACAGTCACGGTGACGCGGTGATTTGCACAGTTTAGTTGCACAACTTAGTTATATTAATAAACAAAAACTTAGTTAAAATACAATAAAGAAAAAACTAAAATAAGATAGATGCTTCCCACAACATATACATAATGTACACAAACAACTTAGTTACACAACTTAGACAACTTAGTTACACAACTTAGTGATATGTTTTATTATTTAATTTAATTAGAATTAGTCAAATTATATGTTAGTGGGTAGTTTTTTTATTAGTGGACATGAATTAAATTAGTGGGTTAGTGTGGTTAAGGGGTTAGTGGGGTGGTAGTTTAATTATTTATGAGTATTATAAATAGGGTAATTAGAATGTTACGTATTATGAAGTATTATGAAGTTTATGAATCAATTAATCTCCCTTTGTTTTCTTTTAATTCTCGTCTTTAATTCTTCTTCTAATTCTCCTCCTAATTCCCATCTCTCGATTTCTTCTTAATTCTTGAAACTATGTTTTCTTGCTTAAATTACCACGTAACAATGGTATCAGAGCCGTTACGTTCCATGGAGGCACGTAACCAATCAGATGCTGAGTTTCGTGCTGAGGTTATTGAAACCCTAGCTCGACACGAATCAAATTTTGACAAAATACACAACACCCTCCAAGTTGTTCTCACCGAACTTCGAGCTCTAAGAGCCTCCTCCAAACCCGAAAATGATGTCAACCCCTTTGTTGTGGGAGAAACACCACTGCCGGTCAAACAAAAAATAAATATACCTACAACACACTCAACTCCAAATCCTGCCCCAAATACAAACCTCAAACAACAAATTCCAAAAGTCGCCGCAGATAACGCAACGGAATGGATTTTCCAAGCCAAGCAATATTTTGAATTTCAAAGTATTGCCCAAAATCAGCAGGTGCACCTCGATTCATTTCGTTTGGAAGGACTCACTTTGGAACGGAATCGCCGGTTAATTGGGTTCAAGGGCTCGTCGGCTGGGGAATATTTTACTAAAGCGTTGCTCTACCGTTTTAGCCCTACCGAATTTGACGATCCTTCCAAAGCCCTCACTCGTTTCATGAAACAAACACTCATTGATGTCATTTACCATGCAAAGTTCGAACAACTCTCTCAAATATGTGATGGATCACCCGATCAACTGAATTCGCAAAATGATCCCATACACGTATCAAGACTATATCCTTGAGGACAAGGATATTTTGAGTGGGCGGGAATGATATGTTTTATTATTTAATTTAATTAGAATTAGTCAAATTATATGTTAGTGGGTAGTTTTTTTATTAGTGGACATGAATTAAATTAGTGGGTTAGTGTGGTTAAGGGGTTAGTGGGGTGGTAGTTTAATTATTTATGAGTATTATAAATAGGGTAATTAGAATGTTACGTATTATGAAGTTTATGAATCAATTAATCTCCCTTTGTTTTCTTTTAATTCTCGTCTTTAATTCTTCTTCTAATTCTCCTCCTAATTCACATCTCTCGATTTCTTCTTAATTCTTGAAACTATGTTTTCTTGCTTAAATTACCACGTAACACTTAGACAACTTATTTCATAGCTTAGTTACACAGCTTAGTTAAATAAGTTGAAGAAAAAAAATTAAATCGCTGGTGCGTACATCACCACACCAACATTACCATCACCATCACCATCACCATCACCATCACCAAACAATTCTTAATTTTTTTTTTCGGTTTAGTTTCCATGATTGTTAGGTTGCAACGAGGATGAATGAGTGTAACCAAAATCGTATGTGTGTATAGTTGCGTATGTGTGTGCGTGTGTGTGGTTGGTTATGTGCGTATGCTGGTGTGTGATTATGTGTGTGGCTGAGTGTTTCAACGATGACAGCGGCAGGAAGTAGGGTTGGAGCAGATTTAATATGCAACAGGGTTGGACGA